AAAGAGGGTCTGTCAAAACAAATTTGGTAGTAAGTAATGTATATTAAATTCAGGGGCGGGGTTAACACCACTTATCTTTACCGAAGACTATGTGTTCAGACTGTGTGGCGCAAATTTTATAACCGGAAGCAAAATCGCACAACCTTGATTATCGTTGCAGATTCAAGGCACGCTTTAAAGGATAGGACGATTAGAGTGGTACTGAATCCAAAAAGCAACTCGCAGTATAAAATTATGTGAGCCTAATTGTACAAGATTTGAAGTACCGATAAGGCAACCGACAGTGAATCTAGTTTCTCGATAAATGTTTTCACTTGAGCAGACCGCTGAAATGGTCTTCATTTGGGAAAAACAAAACTCAGCTCTTTTTTTGTCCTCTAATAGGACAACGTTGAGATTTATACCTCAGGGTAGTGAAAGGGGGTATAGGGGCAGGGCATGGCATGGCGTAAAACTGACCTGAGACACGTTTCCAAAGAGACGCCAGGAGAGAGTTGAGAGGTAACAAACAGCGAAACCACGACAACCCGAGACAGCCAGACGTGTCCCGGCGGTGTTGAGCGACGCAAACTGTACCGGAGTCAATAGTGAGAGGAAACGTAATAATTATAGCAGTCGAGTTGAAGATTAAATGAATGATAGGAAAGAAGTGGTTCGTGAGGTGTGTTTTGTAAAAATTCTGAACGACACTTTCGGCCTTGGCACCAGACAAGCGGAATGATGTAACTTCGTAAAATTGCAGAGTACCCTTAATTATTGACTATCGCATCTCAAAAAAATGACGGATCATCTGGGAACGACTTAGTGCGGGTTAGAAGTGACTTATTCAATTTGCAAGATAGCTTGAGGTAGGAGTACGGACATAAGCAGTAGAAAGGGAGGCAACTACTTCTGGATTAATAGGCTTTGTCAGTCAGCCACACTCAAAAAATAAGTTTTGATAATCTGGGATTCAATGCCAGATTATTTTGTAGCTGGACATTAAGTCAAACGCTGGACCCTTGCGCTGCGGGTTCTAAATTGCCTTTCAAGCCGCAATGGGATGAGCATTTTCCCGAAAACGATCGGTGCACGACCCTCACACTGCTTCATATTTGCTCCTTCATCAAATGTGGATAAGCTGACGGTTGGTCTGGTCAAAATTGTGGACTGGAACTTCCTCTAAAAATGGTAAACAGTCGATAAACATACGGAAGTATGGATTTGAGTTTAGCCCTGACTGTTGGTGGGGCAAACTCCGACGATGCGTGTTTTGCCCCATGCGAAGGTGTGCCCTGTATCAAGGCTATGCATAACCACCTTCGCATGGGACAAACCACGCATGGTCGGGGTTTGCCCCTCCAAAAAAGCCGATAATTTATTGAGGCCATGCACTTTGATGATTCATTCGTCAACCGAAATATCGAGTTGGATGGCATGCTCAAACAGCTCACAGAAAGATGGAAGAGACGAGAACCGATCGATACAGACTGACGCAAGTGGCAGCCACCAATTAGCGCTCACACAAAATGACTGTTGATTCTTTCAGCCCGTTTGGAATTTTAATTGTTCATTGAGCCCCTTCTCATGCCTGAGGATGACCTGGGGATCCAACGTCGAAAATTTACTGAATAAACTTGCCTTGTTTCCCAAAGAACGTCTTGCCTTCAAAGTACATTTCTTGGGATGCCTGCCTTCCTATTTATACGAACAAAAGCGTAGCAGCCATACGAGGAATCAAACAACCATCACGCTAGCACATGCGGCCTTCAGCGGTGGGAACGGAGCTTAGGATATCCTTAATTTTCACGCATGTTGAATTAAAGTGATCGCAGTTGAAAGTGAATACGTAACGTTCGATCTGCGAATGGAGTGTTGAGCGAAATCTAAGAGCACAAGGAAACAGATAACATCTTACGAGGTTCTCGCATGAGAACACTCTTAATCAAGTCCTGCATATTTTATTGTTAACTCAATCCAACTTTGACCGTAGAACTTCGAACCATTAAGAATGATGTAGAAGGATTAACGGCAAAGACCTTGATTGTGCGGGTATGCGTCCACGCAGGCGGACCCTATTTGGGGACTAATGGGCAAGAGGAATGAGCATGTTATTTCCTACGAGTCTGCTAATGGGTCATTATTTCTATGCAAATTCAGCAAATACGTCATATAGGGATGATGTTCACCAAGTATCATTGCTATGCAGATTTTTGCACATTTGCCCATTGGTCACATTTTGCAATATGGTCAACAATCCCCTCCCCCAACCCCAGGACAATTTCGTTGGAGCAGGAAATAAGATGGACCCACTCTGCCCTGTAACAAATGCTTTCCTCTTAGTGTGAGTTTCTCGATGTGTTCTAATTCTATACCAACCTATGCTTGACAGTCCACATAAAAATATAACAAGTTTAACTGACAACTAACTGATAAAGGTGATAGTGGACGTCAAGCGCACACGGAGCTTGCTGCCAGCCGACTTTCATGGGAGCCAGGGACAAAATCAAGAGGTAACCCTTAGGAAATAGCCGTGTGCGTAAGGCTTCTTTGAATTTAAGTAGTACCTCGATGCCACGAACGTAAGATGCACTGCATATAGGAAAAGGTTTCCGGTGAACAATGCAGGCCTTCCACTATAACTATCTTTTGGGGAGGATATTATCAGTCTGGATTCAAGTTCCTCTAGGTAAAAAACAGGGAACTGATAAAGGTGCAAACTTAGCTATGTGCGCAGACTAGCTCGAAATAAACGACTAGGTATATTATAAAGTCATTCAAAAAATGTTGGGCATTGAAGGCGAAGTTGTATTGAGAGTGGAAAAAGGCTCACCCTCATGGGAAAATTTTGGCGAACGTAGGAGTGGGGGACTGGAAACTTGAACAGATTCCGACAGCAGTGCAGGAAACGTCGAACACACAACAGTATGGAATCCGGGGTGCATAGGAGAGTGTGCAGATGATTGTCCTAAAATGATCGGGAAAACGACAAGCCGATAACAATTAACGCCGGAAGCTAATTAGACATTCATGTAGACATCGGATTCGTAAAGGCACTAAAAATGCATTCTTAAAGTTCGACCGTTAATTTTGACGATGTCCATCGTGTTCACGGCAGACAGCGCGTGGATTAGATGCTGCTAACGCATCGCTGTGTCTAACGCACTCCCTCCTCCTCTTCGCCTTGGTTTCATTATCATTACAGAATCAAGAAGACTGGAGAAAGGGGAAAACACAGGTGGCTGGCACACCGAAAACCCATACCTAAACGCACCGCCATGCTCCTTCACCGACAAAAAAACATTTTGACAGGATTTTAAAACAAGAGCGGCAGGGATCCTAGCCCTCAGGGAATAGGCCCGTGCCCTACTACATCCTATCGCATACCACCTGGTCAGAGTCTACACTTGGCCAGGATTTCCTAAAACAAGAAAAAGAGACAGAGGCTCGGATTCCGGCTCCCCTCGTATGGGCCTGCTTACTAATGTAGACCTTAAACCCTGTCTTCTGATCTACCTTCAACAACCAAAGCCCTCGCGACTCATGCGATGTTTCTGTTACATAGGGTGTGGTGATCGCCCTCTATAAGCAGACTTGCAGACTTAGTTCATTGAGCTCGCATATTTACTCACACATTTACAGGCATAATAAAAGTCAAATGGGTGAATTACAGTGACCGCAGTTGTCACATGCACTTACCACGCTGACTTAAGTCAGCGCTAAAGTTTATGCCTAGTCTTCCGGACACGGCTGTTTTTGCGTCGGCGTCCCCTCCATCTATCGCCCCAGGATACGACAGAGAGTGTGGCAACGGTGTGTAATATCGTGATTTTTGAAGACCCGTACAAATCAGACAGAAGCAGGCATAAAGTGAAGAAACAATACATGAAAGCTAAGTAACCCAAATGTGGGGAAAAACGTACAGCGGTGGGATTCAAAACGAGAGCAGATTTCGCTAAGTTGAAGATCATCAGGAAAACACCGTTGTTGCTTTCCCAGTCACTACCAGCGTCGTCACTGTAACCCAATTGACGGTCTCCAACTCGTGAATCGGCATCCAGCTCAGCCTTCATCCTGGACAAATTGTTTGCAATCTGGCGCCGAGTCGAGAGTAATTGATTGCAATTGTTCAGAAGTCGATCACGGAACTCCACTAAATTAGCCCTTCTTGCCTGTCGGTCAGAATCGTCCAGAAAGTATGCTACGGTCCATAATCGAAAGCCCTTAAGGGTCCAACACTGAAAATAAGGAAGCAAGTAATTTACAACTAGCTGAGGGCGTGGACATATGGTTTTTGCGTCCCAACCTCCCAAGCTGACATTCACTATCTTCTGCGAACCTTCAACTACCTTAATAGAATATATATAGACTGCGTAAATATAATAGAGAAATCATGATGATTATGATGACAGGTATTGCTGTGATTATTGAGTCATTGGTGGCTTTGGCCGCGGCAACGGTGAAATTGACACATAACCGGTCCACTGTCAAAGGTAACAGTTCATAAGCTGTCGCGAAAGTTTTGGTTCCATTAAATCCTGTTTTTTTTTTAATTAATTAACAATCATGACTAGTGGCCGAAGTCTCGGTCTTGCTCAAGATGACGGCTTTTGTTTGGTAAAACGAAAAGAGCCGGTACGTGGACATGCGACAATAAGTCTGGTCGCAAGATCAAATTCTGTTAATTGCGACTTTTCATAACGCAACTAACAAATTTGTATATAAACACACGTGACATGGAAGAACACACTATATGCGCTCCAATCAGTACTGCCAATCTTTTAAACACAGAAAATATTAAAAACTGAAAACGGGATCGCTTCCGGTCATTCTAGTCCTCCACCTTTTGAAGTGTTCTATTTTTGATTTCTCGCCGATATGCAATCATCTGTAGGCATCACACTTAGACCGCAAGACAAACAGAGCCCAGGTTCCACCTTAAAATTAAGTCATTCCCGTGTGATGGAACAGTCGTGATCGGAGCCAGCAGCCTGAAACGGGGGACATCATAGAACACTAATGTTTAAACCAACTAAACAGGCGCTTAAAGCTTGGATCTCCTTGAGATTCGTCTTTTCACTTCTACTAGCGATGTTCAGAATATGTAAATGGCAGTTTCGACTTCCTTTAATGGCGCTGTGTGATGGAAATTACCCATATCATTATAAAATTAAGTATGTAGTGCCAGAAATTGTCATTTCAGCCTACGTTGTCTTTACTGATAAAACTTTCCGGTGTCTTTCTTTCCTATCAACCATGCTCGGACACGAGTCAAATGATTCACTGTTAGGCCTTTTATCTTCATCAAACTACCGTACTCACCGCCGGAAATGATTGCAGTCACACAGGCTAACGAGGCTGCAGCCATGTCTACTATACACGAACCATTTTTCAGTGAGACCATCCATACGCATGCGGTCAAAACGCATAAAGGATGGTGAGGTAAAATAATTAATTATTGAAACATGATTTGTCCATGTCTGGGAGAAGTCGCTCTTTTCTTCTTGAAGCGGATTGGTGAGAATACTAGGCAGCTTGAAGGGGTGCTATAAATACAGTTTTCAGGTGTCATCCCATGTTTTTGTGGCCGATCGTGTATCTCTGTTCTGCTAGTGGTGGTTTGGGATATCAGTTAAACACGCATATGGTTCGTGTTGTTACTGTGTATCAGGTTAGATCATAACAGGTTTAGCAGTTAGGGTCTTTCTGTGCCTCAATATCGCTATGTTACGAAGTATCTTGGACACCTCTTCATGTAAAAACGGTAGACCAACCTGTTTAGCTTATGGGATCTGTTGCGGAAGGTTGATTCTAGCGTAAGCTGGGATACCTTACAAGAACTAAGTATTTAAAATTAATAGGCTTTATCTGTATTAAACTTCTTTTTTGGGGATCTACATTAGCATGACACCGCTTTCAAGAGTTTTAGGGCCGAAGCGTATTATTTGCAACAATATCTGGAAAATGGTAATGGGCGCAGTTATGAGCCGCCCACTTCAGAACTTTTCATATTGGTCGACCTAGAGCGTATATATTGAAAAGAAAACGATTTCATCGAGTTGCCTTCTTCTCACTTACTTCCTGGGACTCGCATGTTCGCTTGTATTGGCAGCGTACATATTCGTAGTAAACAAGACTATCATCAGGTCCTAATTTGGTACGCAATAGTGAGGCTAAACAGATCACAAAGCAGGACGACTAGAACCGTAAGGTGCGGAGCTGAATCCAAAAAGAGACTGGGTATAACTAATGGTCTTGTCATATTTGGCAGTCTTAGCCAAATATGAGGGAGGTCATACTTTCCGCTGACGGTGAGCGATAATATGGTGAAATGTTCTCTGCATCACATCCGCACTTTTTTGCAATCAACTTCTATCCGACCTGCAATTATTTGAGAAAGCAGAGCTTGACTTACCTATCTGTACTTGTATGAGCCAGTAGCAACATTGGTTTAGACGGCTCTAGGGCCCAAAGCATTGAAAAGCATTGCCGTTTATGCTAATGGCCCTTAACAATCACTGCTAAATGGGTGTGCTCCTTCTGTACACCGAAGACGGTAGGGAACTGGAATAGTAACTCCCATAATAGAGGTGACCTTGAGTTAAATTCAAGGTAGATTAGAGTTAAGGTTAGGGTTGTGACAAGGCTATGATTGGACTGGGGTTAAGGCTATGATTGTTATTAAACTTAAGGTGAAGGCTTGCGTTAGGGTTAAAGTTGACGTTAGAACACGGGAATATGTACGTATACTGGATGTTAGCCCATGGATGCCTGCATTTTTGAGAGGGGCTTCTCATTCTTGTGTCTTACCCTGAAAGCTATTCGATATAGTATAATCTCTAAGGTTAGTTCGAACAAGTACAACAATTTTTCTCACCGCAACGGCCGCGCTGATTTAGAGAGCTACGAGCATTGATAAATCTTCCCTCCGGGGCGAGGCATGGTCCGCCAGTTGAAAACGTGATACTTTCAAAGACTATAAAATTCGCTGACCCCAAAAACATTCTGCTAAATGCAGAACAGAACGATTTGACTGTAGCCACATGCACATGTATTTTACCAAGACTTGTGGTCAGAGCAAACGGCACAAGAGAGGAGTCAAAGAGGAAAAAATAGTTGACCGCCCAAAACCTCTTGTTTTAGGTTGTTATTATTATTAGGTCACGGGGGGGAATGTGAAGCTAGACAAAAGGAGATAGATAGAGGGAGGAGCAGAAGAATAGATAGTACGAAACAACTTCTGTAGTCGAGGGGTTGTCATCTAATCAAATATGTAAAAACTGTGTGCAAGGTATACTTACAAAACTGAGAGAACAGAGGTGACGGGTGACTTCAGTCTGATCCAACAGAGTCGTATATAGAAGGTTCCCGAAGACGCTCCAGAGGGCAAACCCATAAGCACGCCATGCGACTGCTAGACAATAACCGTCAAGCGACCAGGCCAGCGTTCTAACGGCACCAAGAGGCTTCTCCATTGCTGAAATGGAATCTCTGTAGTTTACTGGATTGGCTAAATTTCGTTGCCAAAAATGCAAACTGATGTTGTAAAAATGGACTGGCGTTAAAACTGAAGGGTCATTTGAGCAATCTGAATAAAAGGCTTCCCCTAAGAACATTTGCTGTGAAATAAACTAGTCGACATTTTCTGTCAACGGTTAGGGGTGCCGTGCTGAGTTCACCATGTCTTTTCACCGACACAGTAATTGTTATTGATTAAAAAAAGTAGATTTCGAAAAAATATGTACAGTATATACTGTTTGTTCAGGACCTGGTCTCCACTACATGCACCACAACGGCGGCTTGGGTCTAACATGCGTGAGTCTCATAGAGGCCACGTTTAGGAGGATGTGTTGCAGCCAGATTGTCAGTTCTGAGAAGGGTCAAGTTAGACCCAACAGTTGATAATCTTCCAAGCCATGACGTGAAACGCACTTTGACAGAGATTTTCAAGGAGCATCCTTTACAGGACTTTCGTAGGCTTAGTCCGTCATCCTCCAAAAGTTAGCTCGGTATAGTATTACTTGCTACGTTTGAGTAACACTTATTTTTAGTGATGATACCCATTAAAGCATTCAAGAAGTCAAGATAGGCGAACAGAACGTTTTCGATTAATTCATCATCAGGCGTGTACAATAATATAAAGGGGTAGAGTTAGTAAAAGTACCAGCAAAACACTTCAAATTCCTGCGTCAACGGATACTTGCGACGGCAGAAGTCGTAGCAATACGA